TTTTACACTCTATTTTTTGTAGTTATATGACAAAAAAATTATAATATTAATTTTTTCCAATAATTGTTTATGTTTTAATTATTCAATTGTCAATTATTTTAACATGCCACCATTTACATATATCACCAATCTGTCAAGTGCTTGCATATTAATACATTTCCAACAACAAATTGCATAATTCCTTGTCAAAGCAAGCCGATTATGCAATGAATACTGATGCGCACAACGCCTCGATGTTATATAAATGAATGAAATTAATTCTCACAAAAATTCAACAATTTCATGCCAATTGAATTGAGATCCAAGATAAACGAGAATGTTTACATTTGCGAATGAACAGCAAAAAACAGCAAACAACATTAACAAATTGCTTATCTCCGAGCCAGGCACATGCATACATACATATGTGTTTGTGTGTGGGTATAGTTTATAATATGCAAATGTGCTGAGGACGACTGTACTTCGGTATACAAGCCGAACTGTTGCATGACACTTGCACTGGCAGACAAATGCCTCCCCCGATAGCAATTAAATGCTGTCAAAGAGATGAAGCGATAACGGTATACTGCGCATATAGCTAGAAGCGCACAAAAAGGCAGCTGAAAAAATAATAGAAAATATTTTGCAAAATTTCAGAAGTCAAAAACCCATAAATAAATATTTCAAAATGTCATTCGGGTTGAGTCAGCCGAAGCGCGCTTAAGGAAGTGCTCTGGAAACGGACCGCTAACATTGGAAATACCACAAAATGAAGATCGAGCGATCGTCGTGTCTAACTAGAAGCCGCACAGTGCTCGCGATGTGCTGCTGTGTGTCGCAATTAATGATTGTGGCAGCAGCGCCACAGGTAAGCATATAATATCTCTACTCAAACAACTGGAAAAACACTTTTTTCCCCAATCGCTTAGAACTACATCGAGCAGGTAGCCGCGGGCGCAATGGACATGGCCATGAAAATGGGTGAGATCTTGCAGAATGGCGGCGCCGCACGCAAAGAATTTGGTTTTCAACTGCCCGGTATGAGCATGCATTCGAAGACCGCAGTCGGATTTGGTGAAGCTATGATACATCGCAGCGATAGCAGCGAGGAGGATTCGGATGAGCGGCGCAAACGTTCGCTCACCAGCGACGAACTGCCCGACGGTGCAGCAGGAAAAGGACCACACACAACATTCACCAAACTCATGCGCAATATCAATGCGCCCTGCATTGGTGGCGGCACGGGCGGTGGTACTGGTGGCGCTGGAGATGGCGGTGATGGCGAGGATATTGTGGACGAGGCACGTCGGCGCATCGCGCGTATGAAGGCGCGCAAGGCAGCCGGTGGCAAGAAGAGCACCACCAGTAAATCGAAGAAGAAAAGTGGACGACGCCGGCGGCAGGTGGAAGCTGCCGATCTGGAAGGTTTGGGTGAGAGTAAGAAAGCCGCGCTTGAGGCGGAATTTCGTGAGCACATGCAGCAATTCGCCGAGAAGATGAATCATGCGTATGAGCATATTGCTGCGTCAGTGATGGAAATTATGAAGCGTATGGAGGAAAACTTCTATGCTGAAGGTGATAAATGATCCTAAGTTGTTTTAGTGGAAATTCTGTTTTGGTTGTCGGTGGGATTATGCTGTTCTGTTTTTAGAGAATTATTGCAATATTATATAAATAAATGTATGTATAAAGTGTTATTGTTCTAAAGCCTCATTGGAAAATGTTTTGAAAACACTTTTTTCTCTATTTATATCCAAACTTGTTTTGCTTTGAGAATTTTTGGCCACATTTTTAGCTTTAGTGAGATTAGTTGCCGATTATATGAACCCATGAGTGAGAAATGCATGTAACTTTGGCTTTTCTAAGGTGATTTTTTGTTTCTAACCCATGCAGTTGGAATTCTCAGCATGTTTAAGGAATAAATGGTATATGCTGACAGCTTATAACCTCAAACTTTTGTCGAAAGTTATAGAAAGTATTGTTTTATGTTAAATATGCTATAAACTGTAGTTTTGTTTGAGTAAATAAAACAAGGTCCCACTATTTGGATTCTTTTGCAGTCAAGATAAAATTTTAAATTATAGGATCCTAGAAACAATCAAATAAGCGTTAAATTTTCTAAAGAAACGCTCGACAAATCGGAAGAGAAGTTAAAAGAGGAAATAACAATGAAGGGTATGATATTTCCTACGATCTCTTAGTGAAGACCAGAAACAAAGCAGCTGCTTCAATTAGAAGACCTAGTAGAGTCTGCAATATAGTAAATTTTGTTTAGAAGCTACCTTGAAGGGGTAATATCCGAGGTAAAAGATTCTTATGTCCATAACAATTGGTTATAAATAATTTCAAACTTTCATACATATATGATATGTATAAAGTTTGAACTTAATCCAAATTTTGACGAATTTGCTTAGACATTTAATTTTGTGTTAGGATTTCTCCAGATATGTGCGGTTTTTAATGTATTTACTACAGTGAACTCGAAGTACAAAGGCCACTCATTAATATTAAGGCATTATATGAAGTTTGTCTCATATTTAAAGAGCACATACGTTGACAAGAATCCTGGGCAAGTGCCTATCAGAATCGAGGCCAGATAGATTCTAATTATGGAATAGTGAACACCCGAAACGGATTAGTTTGACATAGGGCTGGTGAGGGCAGTAATCTATGCCCTCAGTAGGTAAGAGTGACATCTTACCGACTAGCAGGCTAATACGGTTCTCTCCTCAGTCTCGTTAAAACCCTGGCGGGTTTTCAAGTACATTCAATGCACGCCGCCATATGTTTTTGCCCATACAGGTTCAGTTAAGACGAACTCCTGATTCATGGCCGATCCTGTATTTGAACATAACTCCTGGAATTGTGTTAATCCTCGAGTGACATCTCTGCTGACATAGATAACCATGGTGTTCTTGAAGGGCAACTGTTACAACGTGCGGAAATCGCAACAGAAAGAACAGCAAACTAAAGTTGGCCAAAACGAGGAATACCAGGGTGGGCGACGGTTCCTTGAAGGAGGATTTTTAGTGATCAACAAGTGGCACAAACAGTTGCTGTGATGCGGAAGGCTTTTTCTACCACCTTACCGACAAAAAAAGAAAACACTTAAAGAGCGAACTCGATACCACTTCGCTCCCAAGCCATACAACTAAACTCTCACACTCCGCGTTGAAATGAGAGCAGGAGMACAGACTAACTCATCGTTAAGTGAAGAGTCGATCCTGCCGATTCGCACGTATCCTGAAGCAACTATTCATATGTCAAGTGGCACTCGACATAAACTATGTGACGTGACTATCAAATCGCTGAATGTGTCACTCTCCTCTATTTAACCTTAATTACTGCAATTGTTATGCGCATTATCGCTTTGAATCTGTTACACTCATTTTATATGTTCGGCACTAATTTGTGCCAATTAAAATTCTTCAAAAAACTACACAGCATCGTGTTAACCGGCAACGACAATCAAACCGCGTATTTATTGTGAGCTTTAAAATGCCTTCATTAGAATTCCATGGCGTAGAATATTTAATTGAAATTGAGCCGGCACAGCAGGCAGCGCGTCATTTAGGACGAGCAGACGAGCACATAGCAACTTCTTAACGAGGACGATATCGCCGTTGTGGGCGTTGCGACTTAGAAACAAGCCAGCAAATAAATAAATATTTGCAAAATAAAATAATTGGAAGCGAAAATGAGACGCAGGAAATTAAATTCATTACGCATTTCTCTTGTCGTGTTGGGTTTCCTTCTGTGCTTTAAAGCGAGAGCAACGGCTTTAACGCTCGGTAACGCGGAGCTGAGGCAACAAACGCAACCGCAACCGGTGGGTGGTCCATTTCCAAGGCGAAATAGAGACTTGCACTCTAAATAAAAATACATTAAATAGCATAAATTAGTGAAAGAATTCTACTAAGAGTATTTCATTTCAGTTTGAGGCGCGTAGTGCGCGTCAACAACAACCGCAAGGCGGTCGCCAACACGACGCACGAGGCTCGCAGCCTTTTAACGCCTTATTAACTTCAGTTGGACAGTTGGCCGATTCACCGCTTCGCCATGGCGGGCATTTAGCGCTGACAACTAGCAAAGCGGGTAGCCGCAAGCGTTTGGCGCGCTCTGCGGATGATGGTGGCATGAACTTTGGCGATATATTTCAAGCGATAATTCAGTTTGTGGTGACTAGCATTGACGCTTTCTTGAAGCTTTTCGCAACAAAAGCAGGTGATGAGGAGAAGTAGTAAGCAGATCATACGTGGGAGTAGGAGTTTCGTAAGAAAGGAAGATGACATATAATTGACTATTTCATTTAATTTGAAAATATGTTTGTGCTTCAATTTGGTGATACTTAAATTTAAATAAATACTTATTTAATTGATTTGGGTAATATTAGAATATTCATTCAATATTTATATTTGGTATATCCGAAATTCAACAAAAAATCCCTTTATTTAAATGGTTGATTTAGATATAGTTACAGGATTGTACAGTGGTATTATAGAATTATTCACCACTTAAAAATTATTGAATCCCGGAATTTCCGGATTTTGAATTTATTGGTTACGGGATCCCGAAAATTTTCAGAAATACCAAACCAACCAAAATTGGAGTTTGAAAATTACTGTTCGGGAACCCGAAATGAATGCATTTCTTTTATAAGAAGCAAAGAAGTACTTTTAGCGGGAAGTAATTATCAAAAAAAAAAAAAACAAAAAAAAAAAAAACAAAAGATCAAAAATTTTCGGGATTTTGAACATATTCATTTCGGGATCCCGAAAATTTTTAGAGCTATATATTGCACTCTTCATTTATTTGCAAATTTTTCAACGCTTTTCTATAAATATTAAGTAAACCTACATCAGGGCTTGTCAAATGATGTGACGGGATCCCGACTCAGACTTACTTATAATGAATTAATTTTAAATAACAAAAAAATTAAGTGCTCTCAGCAGAAGGTAAAAATTAAAATATTTAATATTTAAATATTAAAATATAAAAAGTATTTTATTTAATCCCGAGATTTCGGGATTTTGAAAACAAAATTTCGGAGTTTTCAGACATACACGTATGTATATATATATGTATATACATATATTACTTGTTGGAAGATTTTTGATTACCGCCCTTTAACTCTCAAATAGACCCAAATCGGCATTTGTAAATTGCTGTTACTGGATCCCGATATTACAATATTATATTTACTTTGTTTGTTTGTTTGAGTTAGTTTTTAATAAAAAAAATAAATTCGTTTAATAGGAAGTAATTTTTAAAATAAATTAAAAAAATTGAGTCCCGAAATTTCGGGATTTCTAACATTTTCGGTTTAGGGTCCCGAACAATTTTATATATTTATATTTTAACCAGCACTTGTCTCAATATTTTTTGGTGTATTTTTTTTCAAACCATAAGTTAATAGTTACTATGTCGGGTTCCCGAAATTATTCGATTTACTGATTATATTATTTTGCGTGATTATGCTCGAACATTTAATAATAAACCCTGAAGTTGTCATATCAATTACTAATTAATAAAATAAATACTATTTATTCGAGAAAGCAAAGTATTAGGAGTCCCAGGTTCACATTATTTGTTTTCAAACGATTGAGGATTACAAAGTAATTATATACTCGTGATTTAAATTAATAACTCTTGATAATACTCATGTAGTTTGTATTGACAAACCTTCTAGGTCGTTAAAACACTCAATCTCGAAGTATAGGATATAATTTCAATACCCCAAGGACACATTTATTTGTTAATGTTAAAAAATTTAAAATTTCTGGTAAGTTCGTGGGACTTTTGAGTAAATAACAGGTTAGCATGATTTTTTTTGTTAACTTTATCATAGAAGCATTAATAAATAAAATAGAGTATATAATAATGGCAACAAGTAATTTCTATAAAATCGCTAAATTAAATATCCGCCTGAATAACGGAAGCATTTTTATAGAAAACATTTCGTGCTCTACTCAAATTTGCATATGGCCGAGGTGTCGGTAATCGAACACGCAATATCAAAATGAAGCGGAAATAGCAATGCCAGTAATTAAATAGCCATAAGCATTTAATTAGATTATGGTCTTCTGATGAAATTGATTATTATTATATTACTATTATATTCAATTCAAATACAAAGAGAGAATGCCTGGTTGGTTTTGTTGGCGTTATACTAGCAGCTTCCCTGGGGTCATAGTTCAACTATAAATTTGGTTTTTGTTTTTTTATAAAAATATTAATCGCATCCGCAAATTAAATACACTGCCGCATATAAACTACTAAGGCATTAAGTTAACTAAGAGCAGTGGCTTAATTGACTGCTTAACTTAACTAAAGTGTAGACATTTTTTTTTGCTTTCAAATTAATTAAATATTCCTATATATATATTATAAAAGTCCACTTGTTTATTATTTTGCGAAATTGAGGAGACAAATTTCATTACTTTGCTTTTAAATGCATATTCCCTATTTTTTAAGGGTGTATTGTCCTAAATTTTTAAGTTGATCTAACTAATAGTTTCGAAGATATAGCGTTGAGAACGTGTGCGCTCGGGACTAGCTAGGTTAAGTGCGCCGACTTTGAACGTGTTTTACTCGAAACCGTGTTTTTAAAGTCGGTTGGCAATATTTCTCAAGAACTACTCAAGCGATCTTCATGAAATTTTACACAAGTTTTGAGATACAATACTTAAAGACATGGACGAAAGATTTTTTTTCGATTACAACCATTTAAAAAAAAATATTGCGAAATTTTCACTGAAATTTTATTATTATTTTTTTTTTTTTTTTTTTTGTAAAAATGTCTGCCAAAAATTCAATTTTCAGTTTGTTTCCAAGTTTTAAGTTAAGGTTTTAACTAAAACAGGTATCTTTTCACTTTAAATGATTCTGTAAGGAGTTATCCTGCCAATGCGGGCGCAACTTTTTCCGAGGGGTTACTGGAAATGGCTACGCAATACCGAAGAGTTTCAAATAATTTTTCCAAATAAATTTCAGAGCATCTTTTTTAATAGTGTATGTTTGTATTAATAAAAAAATTGAATAAAATATTTAATTTTTTGTACGAGAAAAAAATTTTTTGAAAAAAATAAATAAATTTCAAAAACGATATATGTACAGTTGAACTTCCCTAAGGCAACATCAAGTTATGGAAAAAAATTTGAAGTTCGAGTTATGAAGAGCTTCGAATTATAGAAGATCAACTGTATTTTAAAACATTAGCAATATTTTCTTGAAAAAAAAATTAAAATTATTAAAAAAAAAGTTTCAAGAACTAAATTTTTTAAATAAGCATCACTACAAGTACTTTTGCACCAAAAAAAAGTAGTATTCTCTTAATTCAAAACTTAAAATTTTTATAATTCATTTTTATTAGAATTTGATTTTCAAAGTAAGTGGTTTTTATAAATAATTACCAACACAATTAACATTAAACCAAAACTTTTTTTTCACAATTTTGACTCAAAGGGCTTAGTTGAAAAATGTTATTGATTTGTTCGTACTTTCCACTACAGTTTTCTGTTTTAATTTACGTATTTCCAAATCCATCTCTCAAGCATTCTAAAATATGCACTGAAGTATATAAATCATATCAAAAGTATTCTGGAGTCGAGCTCTATTAAGAGGGTTCAACAAAGGCATACAAATTTTCAAAATCTTATAGAAATAGTTCATTCTAAAGAGTACTTGTAACATATGGCCTTTGTTCTCTTTTTCTATTTACTTTATGCAAAATTTATACCCCTCTTTCTTCACCTTTGCATTCCTAACTGCTCTAAACCCTAAAACAATTATCATCAGCATGCAGGGGGTTTCCACCACAATGAATGAAATGTGAGATATCATCAATATTCATTCAATATCCACATATCATCACTAATCAGCAATTACGCGAATTGCCTGCCAATTGCACACGAAGCAAGCTTACTTGCGAATATAAATTATTACATGTCACACAGTCGCTTTTGCTAAATCAAATCACACGGACAGAGTATGCAAAAGCTCATATTTTTACTGCACAGTGTTGCATTTTGCTGCGTGCACGCTTTGCCGTTGGCGGAACCACAGGTGACTAACACGTAACTTTTCACTACTAACCTCAAACAAAATTTATAGAAGTATTTTACTTTCACCGCCGGCAGGACTTTCAAACCGGCGCGCTTATGTTGGCGGGTCAAATGAAGGAGGTGCTGGATAACGGTGCAGCCATGCACGATCAAAAGGAATTCGAATTTATGGGCGCCAAAGTAAGCAATGATATGGCCTTCGGCTTTGGTGATGCGCTGAAAATGCCACGACGTAGGCGCAGACGTGAAGTTGAGCCAGAGGCTGAGGGTGCAGATAACTCCTTAGGCAATGAAACAGACAATTCACTCATCACTGATTACATTGAATGTGTACCGTTCGAACTTGTGTTTCCAGACGGTGGTGCATATCTCGAAAATGAGGAACGTAAGAAACGAGCCCCTGCTCCACGCAGTTCTTCGCAGAGTAGTTCATCGTACTCTTCGTCAGATTCAACGTCCTCCTCATCGTCTTCGTCGAGTGAATCTGATGACCGTTAACGGTTGATAACGCAGAGTATATGAACTAAGTAAAACGCGAATTTTTCAATAAAATCTTTTTTTTTTTTGAGAAAATTTTTTGATCTCTCTGGTACTCAGAGTTGCTTTAGTACAACGGAGGATAATTTGAGTATTTGCATATATGTAAATATCGTCAAACTAAACAGTTCCAGTAATAGCTTTCAGATCGTTGAGATGTTTTAGAATGTAGTATACTGGAGTTTAAAATACATTCGAGTCGCACTAAAAACGAGGTCTAATACATCCATAGATTGAGATTCCTCTTACCGAGAGCCTTTCAGCGAGCTTTGAAAAAACTATAGCACTAATGTAATGAATGTGGTTTGAGAAGCTTCACTAGATACTAAAGTGCAGACAAGCTAGATCAAAATTTTGGTCTAATACATCCGTGGGTTAAAATACTAGATACTGAGAGCCTTTCAGCGCTAGGTTTCGAGCTTTGTAAGGACTCTGGCACTAAAGTAATGAATGTAGTCCGTGAACGTTACTAGATACTAAAGATAGCTTAGATCTAAATCGAAGTCGGGGTATAATACATTTTCTAAGAGCGCCTCTTTACACAAAATCATCATTATTAACACAAAACTTGTACACACAGCTTATTTGCTGTTGATTACAAAACTTCCAATCCATTAGCGAGATGTGAACAACCGTTACAAATCGGATTAGACGGCACAAGGCCCAAACACGCTAACACTCACCTGTGCTGGGGAATATTGCTGGGGCTGCGCGTACTGCTGTTGTTGCGGTTGCGCAAATTGTTGTTGTTGTGGTTGCACATACTGTTGCTGTTGTTGCAGCTGTGGCTGTGACAATGGCTGGCCGAATTGCTGTAGCTGTTGTGCAACAGGCGATGCCTGCTGACGTTGTTGTTGTTGCTGTTGGCCACCAAACACGCGCGAGAAGCTCTGCTGCAGCGCCGGTGTCTTCAGGGTGAATGAATTCGAATTGGAATCCGTGTGGTAGGACAATTGCGCCGACGAAGCGTGCAACAGGCAGGCGACCACCAAACCGAGCGTTGCCACCTGCGTGGCGGTGTGCGCACAATTACCACGAGCCATGTCTAATGAATCCTTTTTTCTTTATTTTTTTGCGGAGGGAGGTACTTGCACGCTCTGCGTCTGATTAGCGTTGGGTTAATTTTTGTTTCGTTAGTCCGTTGCTTGCGGTAAACAACGACAATGTGCTAGCGTTTAACACGACAACTGATTGGCGCTAGCGCTTTTGTGGTTTTTGGTTTTATATCGACTTCATTTTAGTCCGCCGCGCGTTTGCTTTTGTTGTACTGCACTTGTGGCCGCGCAGAGTGTGAACGAGTGGCTGGCAGAGTGTAAGTCGTTAAGTCGCTAAGTCGTCGCGTGCTAAGGTGTGCGCGGAATGAGCAAGAAGCCGAAAATGAATGCCGTCTCGCATTCCCGCCAGCGGAGAGCTGATTAGTGTGCAGTGTGTGGGGTCAACCCGTGTGTCTTGCGGTGAATACCGAATGTGTTTACTTTTATTTCATATCGATTCAATTTTAAGCCGATTTAGGAGCGTTATTATAACAATAATAAGCACAAATGAATATGATAAGCGGATCAATCTCTCTTTTTGCAAAAGTATTGTGTTAACTCGTCTCACATTTTATTGTTGTTGTTGCATTTAATTTTCAAATATTATTAAGCTAATATACAGACATACATATACATGCATACATATAAATTGTGGGTTAGGCTAGGTTAGGTGCTGTAGATAATTACTGAGTTGAGAGAATTCAATCCGAAAAACTGAAGACAAGCCTTTTGCGAAATTTTGTATTTTTTCCCTAGATGTTGTACCTATCCTACGTTTTATATATTCGAGTGAAGTTTGATCTCTCTATGACAATTAGTATGTGTTGCTTAAAATTTGGTGTTCCCAAAAAAAATCATAGCTTCAAGGAATTATTGAAAATGTTGCAGTAGTCAACCGTCCAACCATCTAGCCAATGACGCTCTTAAATCAGACACAAAAAATAAAAAATCGCCAATGGCACTGAAGGACATCTCAGTCAAAGCTTATAACTCTAGCTAGCTGACTTGGATCACATGAATTGAGGTACTTTTTCAATAGCCTTTTTTTCGACAGATCATGTGTGAGTATTGCTGTCATGTTTTTTGTTCAGTATTCTATTGCATTTCATCATGGAAAGTCTGAACAATGAATACAAGACGTTCAACTTTATTTAAAAAAAATTCATGATTGGATGATATTCGAACGGATTGACCACGTACAGCACGCAGTGAAGAAAATATGTATTGCAGCCGTTGCTGAGCGTGTACACGAACCCCGTGGAGAGCCAATTCTGAGTCGTTCGCAGCAACTCGTACTGACATATTGAACCACTTAGCCAAGTTTATATCACGATCTTAAGCTGAAAGCGTACAAAATACAGCTTATGCAGGAACTGAAAACGCGCGGCTTCGCTGTATGGGCTCGTGAAAAGTTCCAAGATGATCCGACGTTTTCGAGCCAAATTTCGTTCAGTGATGAAGCCTATTTCTGGCTCAATGGGTATGTAAACAAGCAAAACTTACGCATTTGGAATGAAGGACAACCTGATGAGACTCAAAAGCTGCCTTTTCAGCGAGAAAAAACAATAATGATGCCAGTGAGATCATAACCGTCCACGGCGACTTTATCGCCCCCAATTCCTGAAATCGAGATTGTGATCTCATCGGCATTTGATTTCAAACAAGACAGCGCCATTTCTCACACATCGCATCAATCAATAGATTTATTGAAAGATCACTTAAATTGATTAAAATATCACGCGTGTCAGTCGCCAGTTACCAATTGAAATGTCATCGAAGTTGTGTTCAGCGGACAGACATTTGAAAGAGATAATCTTCAAAAATCTTGTTTAGAGTGGTAATAAATATTCTCCATTAAATTTTAAGTTTCTGTGTGTTTTCATTAAAATGTAGAGAATTTCGAAATGAAAGAAATATTTACATGTTTCTTGGTTGTATTTTTCAAAGAGATTCGATGACTGGGACTCTTTAAGATCTTTGATTTCACCGTGTAAACACCATTTATAATTTTTTTTTTCTATGCCGGCATTGTCAGTGTGTTGCTGTATTTAATAAGAACTTTTTCAGAAAAAATTCATCCTTACTATAGTTATTCAGTGCTTATCACGAATTTGTGACATCCCAAGTTGATCTGTATCTGACAATCGATTTTCAGGTAAATAAGTCTATGTACATATGTGATAATGTATGATGTGAATGTTCTTAAAGCTAGTGTTTTTTTGCTTTGCACTCAAAGACACAGCGCCTTAGTCTTTTAAGGGATAATATGGTCATCATAATTTATTAGTTTTTAATAACAAACATTTGCAGTGGCCCATTCTATTTTTTAACTCATAAAAATTTTAACTCTTTTTTTATCATTTAGGCTTTCATTAAATCATAGTCAACGTTTTTCGAAGTGTCATCAAATCAAAAATATACCTTTAAATTTGCTAAAACTAATAATGTTTCATCAAAAAATCGGTTTGGTAGATCCATCGTCAGAGCATTTACCCTTTCGTAAAATACTTTCAAAGGTTGCTCACTTGTTATATCTAAAAAATTCGTGTATATCTCCTTCATTAAATGTGTCACAAAATTAATTATAAATTCCAGAAAGCAAATCTTCCAGACTTCCCAAAGTAACTTTTTATCATGAGAAACTTGGAGACAACAGTGCAAAACATTGAAGCGTAAGCCAATTGTTCATTAATTTATTATTATAATTTTCTCTGTTATATAACATTGTACTTATTAGTACCAACCTTCGAATTTCGATTTTCGGCATGTTTTAACGACCTTTCTACAGACTTGCTTACTTATATTTTTAAATTTGATTTCTAAAATTCGCTACAATTTTTTGTTTTAATACAATGTATTATTAGAGGGGGTCGGCCAGTAAATAAATAATATAAGTAATTAATGAGATTAAGAAGAGAAGATGGTAAAAACAAATGAAATTTTATAAAGTTCTAAAATTTATATTGATGATGCTTGTTTGAACATCTCGTATAGTTTGTGTGAGTCGCTGGAGAGTAACACTTGGCGAATCAAAGCAGTCTTCCAGCGAAAACATACTGTGAAAGTGTGATTGAAGTTCCCCAAGAAAAAACTTTTGCCTATTCATTTGCTTGGTCACAACGAAACTTCATAAATTTTCCGAACGGGCTGACAAACGGATCAGGGATATGTAGAAGGCCTTAACTTCAAAGATCGCCAAGATAATGTGCAAGGGCCCCGAAGTAAAACACGCATTGCTTTTACGCTCTCGGTTCTGCTCTTGAGGAACGGAAGGTGGTGATCTAGTGGCCGGTGTTCAGAGCATACTAAAATTATGAAGCTAATACTTTTCCAGCCTGCAGAACTATAAAAGTGTTATATCTGGATATGGCACGATGAAAGAGATGTTCCATGGCCAGACTATTGTGAATTTCGAATATAATTTATACGAATTAAAAAATAACAATAAAGCGGCAAGCGCTAAAGGATTACTGGCCGAGCTATTCAAATATGGCGGCGAAGAACTTATAAGATGTACGCATTAGCTTTTTTGCAAGTCGTGGAAAATATCTGTGATCTGCTCAATTCGCATAAAATGGGACTCCAAAATCTGCGCCAATTACCGTGTGATAAGCCTCCTCAAAAGCGCATAAAAGGTTTATCGAGCGTAGCGTTTTGAAAGACTGAAGCTCATCATATTTCTATCTTGGAGCAAGCATCTACATCAACAATAATATCAGCGTTGAAATCACTCTTGCCAAGCCAACAGGTGCTACTGTGGACTGAGTAGGAAATTGAAATGTAAAGTCCTCTCTCGACGAAACTCTGCATGTACGTCATCATTCTCGTCCTACATCCTGGCATCGACAATGATATCACTTGATGATTCGGCCTTAAGAGTGTTCAAGAGAAGAGTTTTGCGGAAGATTTATGGCTCTTTGCACATTGACATTGGCGAGTACCGCAATCGATATAATCATGAGCTCTACGAGATACACGGCGAAGTTGACATATAATG